ACGCGGGCTTCGGAGAGGACGAACTTTTCCAGCGCGTCTGCGGCTTTGACATAGACGCCCCCACCGTTGTATTTCCGGCAGTTGGCGAGCATCCGCAGCAGCTCGGCCTTCAGCTCGTTGAAGCCCGAGAACTGCCGCTGCTCCAGCTGCTGCTCCAGCGTCCGGAGGTCTACAGGGTCGGAGATGACCGAAAGATAGTCTTGCACGACGGCAGTATCCACGGGCTCCTGAAAGGGCCACGCCGCGTCGTGCGCCTTGGTTCGCTCCAGGAGCTTGGCCATCGACTCCTCCTCGGCCCCGTCGCGGCGGTTGCCGTCGGGATTGGCCAGCTCCGCGCGCAAATCAGCTTCCGAAAAGCCGAGAGCGCGCAGGCCCGGGATTTGGTCGAGCAAAGGCTTGGCCACGTCCACGGCCGCGTCCATCGTGTACACCGGCGAGTCCAGGAAGGCGGCCTCGAGCCTTTGCGCCACGAACAAGCGCTGCTTTGCCAAAGTCTCGCGGAGCTCGAGGTAGTTTACCGTCGGGTGCACGTAGCACTCCATCAGAGTCCCCCCATCGTAGTCCTTGATGTAACCGGACCACCGCTCCTTGGGCAAAGAAACCGACTTGCTAAAGCCCTGCTTCTTGAAATAGCCAATCGCCTACGCGGCGGAGGATGAGAGGGGGGCCGTAGACCGTCTCTCCGACCGTGTCCAGGGGACCGTACGGAGGACCTTTCGAGGGGCCGCCACGGGTTTCCCCGAATTGCGCTGCGGCGTGCGAAGTTGTCGGCGTACGTGAGAAAGTAGAGGATGCCCTCTGCCTTTGCGCGCTCCTTGAGGTGGTTCATCACGCGCGTCCCAAAGCCCCGCACCTGCTCCGACGCAGAAATGCCCAGAAACGCAATCTCGAGGAACTGCTGCGCGTAGTACGGGCGGTAGCCTAGCAAACTGCTTGGAACGGGCCTCTACGGCCTCTGGGGCATCGACAGAGACTCGGTAGAGAGACGGGCATCTCAGAAGTCCCGGTCTCTCGCGTGCGGGCGCCCCCAGGACGGTCACTTACACACGCCGCCGATGATGGCGTCGCCCTTTGCGGCGTCGCCCTTGACGAGCGCGAGTGATCGGTGGCGCTTGTCGAAGACGAGTCTGGCAATGTACTCGCGCGGCATCTTCGGAAGCTGCGTCGCGAAGATGTTCTTCAGGTCCGTCAGCTTCTCCAGCGCGCCGACGGACCCTAAAGGCACACGGTCCGAGGGCGCGGGCCGTCCCAAGAAGGGGGCCGCCGAGGATTGGCCGCACCGTCGTTGGTGACCACCTCGTAGCGGATGCGGCGCTGGGCCTCGTCGTCGCGCGCGGCGGCCTCGCGCGCGCCGACGCCGCGCGCCATCGCCTATGGAGAGCGCGCCGGCGGAAGCGGGCCCTTCCCTTCCCGAGGGGTCGCGATCGCTGAAAAAAAACTACTCGAGATCGGCGCCGCGGCAGAGCCCGCCGCGGCCGCCGGTCGAGGCGGAATGGTGCAGGGTTCGTCGCTAAACGCGCCGGAGACGGACGACGAGGCGACAGTGGCGTCTGGCGCCGTTGAGGCGCAGTCGTCTGCGGCGTCGTGGTCCACCGGCAAGACTTCGCTGCGGCGCCGGCGCACGGGCGCTGCACCAAGCAAGTCGACGCCGGCGCAGCGGCAGGCTGCGGGGCGGCGGAGGACGCGCTTCTTCGAGCGCTGCGAGGCCGACGCCGTCGGCGCCCTCCGCGACGCGCCAGACGAGCTGAAAAGCGACCGCGCCTGCGTCGCGCACGCCGTGGAGCGCGACTGGAAAGCTTTGGAGTTTGCGGTGCTGGAGTTCCGCGAAGACGAAGAGTTCATGGAAAGAGCCTGCGCCCACGCGTCCGGCCTCGCGCTCAAGTTCGCCGGATTCAACCTCCGCGACAACGCCGCCGTCCTCCTCGCGGCGTGCAGCCAAAACGGCTTCAACCTCCAGTTTGCTTCGGCGAAACTCAAAGGCGACCGAGACGTCGTCACCGCGGCCGTGCGCCAGTGCGGTCTCGCGCTCGAGTTCGCCGGCGCGTCCATGCAAGACGACTGCCGAATCGCGCTCGCCGTGCGTCCCTTTTGAAGATGGTCGTTTCCGGGATCAAAGGACGTAGGCGGTGCGCACAAACGGCGGCGCTTTGGCCTTTGCTTCGCCGGCGCTGAGAGACACCGAAGAACTCGTCGTCGAAGCGGTCCGGAACTGCGGCGGCGCTTTGGAGCTCGCGTCGCAACGCGTCCGAGGCCACCGCGCCGCCGCTCTCGCGGCCGTTTCAACCCGCGTCTGGGTTGATGGAATCCCGGACCGTCGCCGGTTGCTCTGGAAACGGCGGACCGCCGCAGAGTCCCGACCGGCGTGAGAGGGGACGGTAGGTGAAGCAGGACGGCTCTTCGCTCGAGTTCGCTTCGGCGGCGCTGCGCGACGACGAGGACGTCGTCCTCGCCGCCGTGCGCCAGAGCGGCTTGGCGCTGCAGTTCGCGTCCGACCGCCTCTGCGGTTCGCGTTCCATCGTGTCCGCTGCGGCGGCGCAGGACGGCTTTTCGCTGCAGTTTGCGGGCGCGGCGCTGCAGAACGACGCCGCCTTCGTTTCGGGGCTGCCAAAGCATGCCTACGCGACGTATATCTGGAGCGACCCGGAACCGCTGCCGCCCCCGACCGTGCCCCAATTCAAACAAAGCTGGAATGCAATCTCCTACAAGGACCGCATCCTCTCCTAAGCCACCGCCGCCACACGCCCCTCAGGACGCGGTCTGAGGAGGTGTTCCGGTGGCGGCCCGAAAACAAAGCCGCGGACGTTCTTTGTTTGGGCGAGTGCGCGCGGGAAACTACCTGCGATCAGCGCGCGAGCGCGCGCCGAGAGACCGCCCCACCGACGCCGGGCACGCGGCGCCGGCCATGGCCCCCGCCCCACGACGACGAGCCGCGCGGTGCGTTTCCCAGTCGCCGCGAAAGAATTTTCCCGCCCCGCGAGGCCTGATTGCAATCAAATGCGAGGCTGCTGGCCGCGTTCGCGGTGGCGATGGCGCCGTCCTCGGCGATGGTGCACGACCTCTCGATCCAGTCGGACTCGCGGTCGCTGTACCGCATCGAATCGTTTTGCTTCCTCGAGGGCGGCGTGCTCGAGATTAGTGTGAAGGACTTTGAAATCGCCGGCGGCGGAGACCACAAGCCGTACCGCGTCGGCTTCGTCATGCGCCGCGCCGCCTCGGAGAGCGCCGCCCAGCAGGAATTGGAGGAGTCGCTCGAGGCCAACGTGCGTCTTCTTTTCCCGCCGTATTCCGCATTCCGACGGTATACGCAACCATAGGCCTGCCTGCTGGACTGGAAGTCCGAGGGCGCCGACGGCCACGCCGAATCTGTGTTTGAGCTGGACATGTCTGACCCGACCAAGTGGCCCGCGGAGCAGGTCAGGACGCACCGCATCGAAAAGGACGAAGAGGGACTATACTCGCTCATCTTCGTCCGGTGCAAGCCTTCGAACTCGGGCGCGGCGACGTCGTTCAAGCTGCGCGCGCAGTTCTACAACCCGGGCCCGGCGTATTTGTCGGCATGCGAGGCGGCGCTGCCGCTTTTATTCGCCCTCTTCTGCGCGGGCTACGCGGTGGCGCTCGCGGCGTGGGCGGCGCTGCTCCTCGTCCGGGGCGGCCGCTGCGGCGGCGCGCGCGCCGCGGGCAAGCCGTCGCCGGTGCACGCCATCCACTGGATGATGCTCGTCCTGCTCGTGTTCAAGACGGCATCTGTTGGCTCGCAGTCCGTCAAGTACCACTTTATCAACGTCACGGGGTCCGGCGAGGGCTGGCAGTTTGTGTACTACGCCTTTGCGTCGTTGAAAGGAGTCATGCTCTTCGTCGTCATTCTCCTCATCGGCACGGGCTGGTCTTTAGTGAAACCGTACTTATCGGACCGCGAGAAGAAGGTCGTCGCCTTTGTCCTCGTCCTCCAGGTCGTCGACAACGTCGCCTTGATCGTCTTCGAGGAGGCAGCGCCGGGGTCGCGCGCGTGGCTGACGTGGCGCGACGTGCTCCATCTGGTGGACATCATCTGCTGCTGCGCCATCCTCTTCCCAATCGTCTGGTCCATCCGACACCTCCGCCAAGCGGCTGCCGCCGACGGCAAGACGCAGCACATTGTCGCCAAGTTAACCCTCTTCAGGCAGTTCTATATCATGGTTGTGACATACGTCTACTTCACGCGAATCGTCGTCTTCCTCCTCGCCGCGACGCTGCCCTTTGAGCTCCTATGGCTCCGGCACCTCTTCGCAGAGGGCGCCACGTTGATCTTCTATACGGTGACGGGCTGGAAGTTCCGGCCCACGGAGGACAACCCCTACTTGGCTCTGGCAAAGTCCGACGACGAGTGCGACGACGACGACGCAGAGTACGGCGAGGACGACCGCGCCGAGCAGAAGCCGCGCGGCGAGGCCGAGATGATCAAGATGGGCTCCGACTAGCCGCCAAAAAGCCGTAATCGGAAGACACGGCCAAAGGCCGAGAGTAGATAATAAAGTCGGCCGCCAAGAGGGATCTCCAGCGGCTACTGAAGCCCCCCCCCGCGAGGGAGACCGGCCCGCCAAACTCAGAAATGGGTATTGCAACGGGTCGATCGAGTGCCACTCGGCTTCCGAGTCGGAAGAATCTGTCATATGCATTACTAGGAATTCCTAGCTGAGCACGACGGCGTCTATATGGCGCCATGCGACCGCGTTCCTGTCGCATGCGGCGTCCGAGACGGCTCTTCGGCCCAGGACACGAAAGCGGCGTCCGAGGCCGGGGGCCCGCCTCCCAAGGCCGTCGAACTTCTTTTGCGGTCGAAATGCTCGGAGCGGTGCGCCAGGGCCGAAGCACAGTGCCGCGACGCGTGCCCGGCGGCAACGGCGCTGGCATGGCCGTCACATACTTTAAGCGATAATGCGGTTCATATACTTTGTGGCGGAAGACAGATAAGTTGCGATTACAGTCGAAACAGTTACGATACAGCGGCATCAATCGGATTCGGGTCTATGGCCTAATGGACAAGGCGCTTGCCTCCGGAGCAAGAGATTCCGAGTTCGAATCTCGGTAGACTCTTTTTCTTCATCTTTACTTTTTGTCAATCCCATCGATTTTTTTATCATTTTAATCTTGATAGACTTCTTTTAATCCCCGGAAAACTTTATTACAAGAGCGCACCGGACCTCCGGGGAGGCACACGGAGGACCCGACTTCGAGCGAAGGATACAGACAAATCCCATTGCAATGCCCACGTAAATAATTATTCAGGACCCGAAGGGTCCTTGCCGTTTATTCAACGTCAGTTTACGGCAAGGGCCCTTCGGGTCCTTTGATTGAAGGATTGCCAGGGGCAATTATGTCTGTCTGTCTGTCTGTCTGTCCGTTTGTCTGTCTGTCCGTCTCCGGGTCCATCCG